TTGACTCGGCTGTCCGTTACGGTAACCACACTCACCTTGTCTTTGTCAATTGTCAATTGAGTGCTGCCACTTGGCGCCTACCACCATGGGGTCCAATCAGCCCCATTGTAGTTAGGTTTCTTAATTCAATTAGGGCAGTTTCCACTGTCAAATATGACTTATCAATCACAGCAGTCTTCAAGGATGCTGGAGCTCCCTTCACAAATTTGTTCCTCACAGTTGTGGTAAAAGGTGTGTCCTCTGGGCATTCCATGTGTGGGTCTGTGGGTCTAACCTGATAAATCCACTCTAGCATGCCAATTTCCCTAAGCCTATGGATACCTTCTTCTACAGTATACCAAGGCAGGTCTGGCACTTCAACTTGATTCAGTGTAGGCCACCTTGTAATCCATGCTTCAGCAATGCAACCAAACAAACTATTAGATCCTTTCCTAACTTCTCAAGCTGAAACACTGAACGAAGAATCTGTACTTAGTGGGCCGATATCAATAAACTTGGACTGATCCATCTTTATGTTCCTTGTATCATTATCCCACACCCTTAGTAGCCATTCCCACACATATTCCCCAGGTTTCTGTTTGTATGTATTAGAAAAGTCAAGCAGTTCTTTTGGAGTGTGGTGTACCTCCTCCTGGGTCACACTTTGTACTTCAGCTTTTGGGCTCACTGGGACTTAAGTGTAGTTATAGATCTAGAAGCCAAATTGGGTGGTGGGGATATGTTTTCAGAACACTCAGCATTGTCTTGTAAGGCATCTGCCTCAGGTGATGCCCCAGCCAATGACTCAGATAAAGGCTCTTCAGACACAGCTGGGTTAATCTCATCAGATGGGTGTGGAGGGGCTAATGGTTTTACTGCTAAGACAAAGATGGGGTAATCTCTTCAGATGGGAGTGAGAGGGCTGGTTCTGTTGGCAGGAGTGATTCAATGGAATTTAGGGGCTCAGTGTCCCCAGCTTCCTGATTATCTGCCCATATATCCCCATCCCAAATTTTGGGAATCCATTTCTTACCAAAGAGTGCCCTCACTTTGACTTCAGACATCACTCGAGGTTGAGAATTCAGTTGACATTGTGATTCGGCTGATCTTATGATAAGACTCTGGGTTTGGTTTTCTGCAATATCCTGTTACTACAAGAAATAAGGCTTTCTTTCAAGGCACAAGTGGAAACTTTGAGGTCATTTACGCAGCGCTTGAGCTTTGACTCTGAAGCCCTGTGCTCATCTCTTTCACCCCTTTGTCTAGCAAAAGTAGGACTAACCAACCAGCTTCATTATACTTCTCATTATGACAAAATTGTAGAAAGGTATCAAACATGTGATCACCGAGAGCCTTGTCTCTCACCAATACCTGGTCTGTTTGTGGTGATATTTTGCATATTTGTATTGCCACCTTACACCATGAATTGGGATTGCTGTCTTTACAGTGGTGGCACAGCGGTTAAGAGCTCAGGCTGCTAGCCAAAAAGTCAGCAGTTCACATCCAGTAACCACTCCTTGGAAACCCTATGGGACAGTTCTACTCTGTTTTACTGGGTTGCTATGAGTTGGTTTTATTTTGTTTTGTTTTGTTTTGTTTTTCTTTACTACTGGAAGCAGAGTCATCAACATTTTTAAGACTAACCAGATTTGAGAATGAATTTAGAAAACTCATTCTTACAATTTTGTTTCTCTAGAACCATTGTCAGTACCAAATGTCTTGGGCTGGGTTCTCTAGAGAAACAAAACCAGTGAAGTGTCTATATATATGTAGAGAGAGAGATTTATCTCAAGGAAATGGCTCACACAGTTGCAGAGGCTGGAAAGTCCCAAGTCCATGGATCAGGATGGAGGCTTCTCTCTACTCACGTAGCTGCAGGGGCTCATGAACCCAGGATCCAGTCCATAGAGGATGACGAATCCCAAGATCAGAAATCAAGCTGCTAGTTCAAGTCCCAAGAACTGGAGGTCAGATGAACAGGAGCCAGCTGCAGGATCCAGTCCACAGAGGATGACGAATCCCAAGATCAGAAAGCAAGCTGCTAGTTCAAGTCCCAAGAACTGGAGGTCAGATGAACAGGAGCCAGCTGCAGGATCCAGAGTGAGCAAAAAAGCCCATGAGCTTTGCCAGAAAGTCCACCATATTGGATGCAGGCCACACCCTCAAGTAAACTCCCTTTCAATTGATTAGCTGCTCACAGCAGATCCCATCATGGAGGTGATCACATTATATCAGATCTAATCATGGAGATGATTACATCATTATACGACTGCCAAACTACATCATAATTGCTAAACCACTGAGAATCATGGCCCAGCCAAGTTGACACACAACCTTAATGATTACCTAATTCATTTTTAAACTTTTTATTATGAAAAATTTTGAGTATTGTTAAAAAATGATCAAAGCACAAATAAAAGAATACAGGGTTTATTGGAGCAGTTATTCTGTATGCATAAAGGGAGACCATTTTGTTTCTAAAAAAACGAATGGCTCAGTGTAGGCTAATTACAGTGAAGCTTTTAAGGAGAAGAGGCAGAAGCAGAGTAGAAAATTAACCATTGCCTAGTCTCAACATGGAGCCCTGGTGGCACAGTGATTAAGAGTTCACGTGTTAACCAAGAAGTTGGCAGTTCGAATCTACCAGCTGCTCCTTGGAAGCCCTATGAGGCAGTTCTCCTCTGTCCTATAGGGTTGCTATGAGTCGGAATCAACTCGATGACAAGGGTTTAGTTTGGTTTTTTTGTAGAGTCAACATGACTGGTTGAATCATGCCCCCCTAGTCTGAGATCAGCCAACATCTGGTTACTAGGTTATCTCTGTGGCCCTCAGTCACTTACACAAATCCTCAGGTGTAGTCCAGAGGTGTTAAAATAATAAAGGTAGGGAATTCCAAGGATTATCTTGCAGAAAGCAAGGGAAATTACCTAAAGTTAAATTCTTTGCACAAGGTAAACCCTGAACTAGTTTATGGTTAAGAGATGTCTTTGTCACAAAGGGGAAGCTGCGTGACTTCATGGTCACGGTGTCTCTACACTATCTTATCTGTTTTGGGGTACATTTTACAACAGTCAGTGACCTTTGTGAATTTTCTCTGCACTCACCGAAATCTGTCAATTTGGGCCTCAGTTTCTCTGTTTAACAGCATATACAAGGTAAACAGTCTAACGAACTCCCACACTCCCCTCTCCCAGATGGAACAAGGGTCCCTGTTAGGAATTGAATTGTGTCCCCTGAAAATGTGTGTCAACTTGGCTAGGCCACAATTCCCAGTATTGTGTGTTTGTCCACCATTTTATGAACTGATGTGATTATCCCATGTGCTGTACATCCTAACCTCTGATGTTAATGAGGCAGGACTCGATCTAGAGGATTAGGTTGTATCTTGAGTCAATCTGTTGAGATATAAGAGGAGAAGTAATCAGAGATGAGAGGGACTTCATACCCCCAAGAAGGAAGCACCGGGAGCGGAGCACATTCTTTGGACCCAGGGTCCCTGCAGTGAGAAGCTCCTAGACTAGGGGAAGGTTGATGCCAAGGACCTTCCCCCAGAGCCAACAGAGAGAAAACCTTCCCCTGGAGCTGGTGCCCTGAATTTGGACTTTCAGCCTCCTAGACTGTGAGAAAATAAATTTATCTTTGTTAAAGCCATCCATTTGTGGTATTTCTGTTATAGCAGCACTAGATAGCTAAGACAGTCCCCATTCTGCCTATCTTGCATCATTTATCTCTCTCTACCCACACTCCTTAATGATTATTTGTTCAGTTTTGTCAGGTGAAATTTAAGTGGGCTGAAATACACAAATCTTAGCTGTATAGTTTTAACAAATGAATATGCCCTTGTGGCCCATACCCCATGATGATATATATAGAACCTTTACATCTCCCCTTTTCTGTCCCCTTCCCAGCCCTCTACCCACCAGGCAACGAGTGTGACTGTCCCCTGAAGTCAGTCTGGAATCATGCATGGCATTCTTCTCATGTGCTCGCTCCTTCCATTTGACCTGATGTCCATGAGGTCATGTTGCTGCAGGTCATTCTCATCACTGCTGAGTGGTTCCATGCCAGGGACACAACTTTGTGTCTCTGTCACCATGGGAGGGCATCTGCAACCGTGTTCGTTCTCAGCTGTTGTGACTGATTCTGTCGTTTGTGATTAAGTCATTATGGAGACATGCTTTTTTCTCTTAAATGAATGGAGTGGGACTGTTGGGTCACATGGTAGGAGTGGTGATTCAGTGGTAGAATTCTCGCCTTCCATGCAGGGGACCCAGGTTGGAGTCCTGACCAATGCACCTCATGTGCAACCACCACCCATCTGTCAGCGGAGATGTTTGTGTTGCTCTGACACTGAATAGCTTTCAGCTGAGCTTCCAGACTAAGATGGACTAGGAAGAAAGGAAAATCAGCCAGTGAAAACCCTATGGATCACAATGGACTGATCCACCACCCATCACGGGGATGGTGCAGGACCAGGCAGAGTGTTTTCCTTCTGTCCTGCGCGGGGTTACCTGAGTTGGGGGCCGACTGGACAGCAGCTAACAACAACAGCATTGTAGGAGTGTGTTTAACTTTGGATAAAGAGTTATGACTGTCTTAGAAAGTGTTACATTCTTGTTTGGCCCATGCCCCCTCCAGCTCATGTGTTTGTCAAATTTGCATAATTTAGAATGATTTTGTAGTCATCTTATAATCTTCCTTTTCCCCCTACTTTTTCTTTTATAAAGCAGTTTTGGCACATTTTCAGGCAGGGCTTACCTGTACAAATAATTGTGTTTTAATGTTCTTAGGACTAAAGATGAGAAATTCCTGTTAGGATCAGAATTTTAAATTAACGAGTTTTTTGTCCAGGAAGAAACCTCTGCCGTAGTGTGAAGTAAAGCTTCTGTGGGAACATTGGCCTGGCTGGGAGGCTTCCTTGGGTGCGGGGCTCTCCCAGAGAGCTGAGTGTGGCTCCAGGAGGGCAGTGTTCTCACCTCTCAACCCTTACACCACTTCTGCCTCCGCAGCCACGCTGGGCCTCTACTTCTCAAGGGACGCCTACTGGGAGAAGCTGTACGTGGACCAGCCGGCCGGCACACCCCTGCTCTATGTCCACACACTTCAAGACTTCCCCGGCGAGGTGCCCAGCTTCCGCCTGGGCCAGCACCTCTACGGCGCCTACCGCTCGAGGCTCCATGAGAACGACTGGATCCGCATCCAGGAGGACATGGGCCTCCTCTACCTGAACCAGAGCCTGGACCAGAGCACCTGGGAGGAGCTCAGCTCCCGCAGTGAGTGAGCAGCTCCTGCCTCATCTGACTTCACTCCCCCACCCCATCCCACCCTACCCCACCCCACCCTGCTCCACCTCCATCACACCCTAGGCCCTCCTGCTCACCGCCACTTCCCTCCACCTCTGCCTCCCCCCCATTGCCACCTCTGAACCCAAGGAATCAGCACAGCCCACGTTACAGTGTTTCCCCTATAAGCCCTGCCATAGAAGGGGCAAGTGGGGCTGGCCTGCCAATATCCCGCCTGATGAGGGGCCGGAATGAGTCTGGGGGCCGCGGATGACCCTTGCCTCTCTGAGGCTCTGGGGATTTTGAGGGAACCACGTGCATGATTTGGGGGCCCTCTGCATGCCAGCTGGGTTAAGAAGGATTTGGGGGTTGTGAAAGCGGGGTTCACAAGAGCTAGGAAAACTCTAGGGTTTTGATTCAGCAAGTGACCTGGAATGTGCTGCAGAAGCAGCAATTCTCGTGGAGAACCTGTCTTCCCAGCCACAGCAGCTGCGCGTGGGGCCTGGTGGGGACTTAGCCAGGCTGAGGAGCAGGGGGAGGAAGCCACTTGTGGCCCTGGTACCAGGCAGGGTGGGCGGAGCAGAGTCCTGCCTCTTGGCACAACAGGGTGATGTCTTCCACCTTCTGCACCCCTTCTGTACCTAACGGGGCCACTGGGACCTCACGCTGCCCTTGTCCTGAGACGGGAGGCAGACAGCCTGCTGTGGACACAAAGGAGATGACTGCCTGCCTGTGCCAAGAAAGTCGGGGTCACAAGATGGGAGGGGCCTGGGGAGGGGCAGCCCTTTCTCCGGGGGCCTCCTGGGGAGGTGGCATTTGAGGTGGATCTCGACTCAGCACTCCCTCAGTCCCTGCTGTCCTCACCCTGAGCTCCCACGGGACACGTAAGGAGCTGGAGTTCCCTGGGGTGGATGCCCGAGTTGGGTCTGCTGTAGAAACAGTGCGTGGGCGTGTGTTTAACGAGAGCTCTAGTCCATGGCTGTGACTTGAGAGAGCCCCTGTATGCCTCAGGGCCCATCAGGAGAGAAACCACACTTAATTTGAACAGGGAACGTTTATATAAAGAATTACTAGCTACAGCTGGGGAACGAGGCAATGAAGCTTGGGCTAACAAGAAGCAAAGAGAACTCTGAAGAAGGTAGAAGCAGCACATGTGAGGAGCAGCACGCACCGGGGCTGAGACAGGGGCCAAGGAAGAGCCCTCCAGGGGAGATTCAGACCTCACTGGAGGGGAAGGTGTTGTGGTGCCCCCCTGTAGCGCTGGGGAAGTCTGTCCGTGGGGCTGTGTCTCAGCAGAGCTTCACGGGGAGGGGGCGTGGTACAGCAGTGGTGGGATGTGCTGGAGAGCCCCCCTCTAGCGCTGGGGAAGTCT